GTGACTATCTTGCTAGTTTCTGTAGTCTAATGAATTTCAATACAGCTCGGAAGGATATGCTTAGATATTCTCAAGGACAAATGGAGTCCGGCGCTTCAGATTAGAACTGTACTTTTGAGGTAATTAACGAAATTTGTAATAATTTTCATTTTCCTAAAATAAAAGCTCTTCGCATCTTTGTGAAAATACTCTCACACAAGGAATAACTAAAAGCGGATTTCAAAAGAATCTGTTTTATGTAAAAAGAAATTAGTATTGAAACGTGACACGAAGTTGAGTTCCATTTTTGTGTTGTTTATGTTATTAGCATTCAAGCACTTCTGAGTGCTCCAAATCCAGACGACCCACTGTCTGAAAACATTGCGAAACATTGGAAATCGAACGAGGTTGAAGCAGTTGAAACAGGTACGTAAGGTTGTAGTTAAGTTTATTAAAAAAACCTGAATTTGAGAGTAAATGCGGGCTGAGTTTGTTATCGATATATATTTTGCAGCTAAAGAATGGACACGTTTATACGCAAGTGGTACTTGAAGAAACGGAATCCCAGAATTTCCCAAATAATAAGTGTACCTTATTGACCCCAAAATGAATATTGAATGTTTTAGAAGAATGGTTGTCATGCTCAAACCAATTGGACTTCTCCATCTTCTTTTAGAGTCTTGCGTTCGATTACGTTAACACTGTCGTTCAAAAATGTATAATTAGTTTTGGATACTTTGGTTTTTGTGTTGTGATCCATATTTCTGTTAAATAGTATATTGTGTCCTTCGTCTTTGGAGAGTTATTTGGCCTATAACCTTTGGTGTAGCATGGAAATAAAAACATTTTTTTTTTGTTTTAAAAATAATTCAAATTACGAATTTTAAACGGTTACCGATTTTGTTACTGTAGGCTGTGTGATTAAAATCAGCCTCAACAACTCAGTCGCCCATGCATAATCCTCCCGAAAGACACCCAAGTAAACCCAAACTTGCACAAAAAGTTAAGCACGAAAAGACGAGAACCGGAAAAAATATATTTTTAATTAATTATTAAATTAAATAATTTTACATTCCTAAATATCACTAAAAAAATATCGAAAAGCCGCCCGATTAAACCAAAGCAGGAAACTACGATCAATCCAAACAATAACACCTCTATAAATATTACCAACGTTCAAATAATAATAAACGATAAAGAAGAAGCAACAAAAAAAAGATGGCGGAAAAACAAGGAGCGATCGTAAAGAAAGGTCACGAGGAGGGCCTGAAAATGGCGACATCTCTGCTGGAGGAATTCGGACTTCCGCTCGGGCTTCTGCCATTGGCCAACGTGATAGAAGTGGGCTTTGTGCGGGCCACGGGGTACATGTGGATTATGCAGGAGAAGAAAGTTGAACACGATTTCAAGATGATAAGCAAACTCGTCGGTTACAGCTGCGACATCAATGGGTACATTGAGAAGAAGAGGATAAAGAAGCTGTCCGGAGTTAAGGCTAAGGAGTTTATGATGTGGCCTCCGGTGAGTGAGATCAAGGTCGACGAGGCAGCTCCCGGGAAGATCCACTTCAAGAGCCTCGCCGGAATCACCAAGACTTTCCCCGTTGAGGCTTTCGCTCTTGGCCAGTAAACGATTATTATCGGTGGATTTAATTTTCCGACTCTCTCTCTCTCTCTCTCTCTCTCTCTCTCTCTCTCTCTCTCTCTCTCTCTCTCTCTCTCTCTCTCTCTCTCTCTCTCTCTGTCTCTCTCTCTGTCTCTCTGTCTCTCTGTGTGTGTCAATTTATAATTATTTGGGTTTTAATTAGCTTGAATAATATGATGTATTTCAGTTTATTATAAATATGTGATGTGGGGGAAATGTGAATTGCAATCAAAGTTCTTTGGTTTAAATTGTACCAAAAGAATTTTGTGCAAGTGTTGGTACACATTTTTCAGTTAATCTAAAATGCCCATGCTTTCTTAATTAAGTTGTTATTTTTCTTTTATTCGTTCATAAAATTAATTCAAAAGGCTTAAAGAAATTAAACTATCTTAAAAAACAAAGGGTCAACCGATAGTATTTTTCGTGAGTTGATGATCAAGTTTAATATCAACCTTGATATGGACTATGTCGCACATATGGGCCTCGTCCTTCAAAGCCCAGGATCTCGTATTCGGGAAGTTCCTCACTCAACTCATTCACATCTAGAACAAAATCGATGCCAGCTTGGTCGAGACGCTTCTGTGCGAAGTTGACAACATAGGTAATTATAAATCTTTGTTTATTGCATTCTACTAGCAAACAAAGACTTATAATTACCTCAAATAACACAAACATTATGCGTAAAAATATATTGAATTTAATTTAACCATCAATTAAAATTTTCAATTTATTGTCTCTAATCCGACAACACAAAATCATAAATATTGGTTCTTTTGACCAGTCAGTCAATTATTGAAAGATTCTCTCCTAGTAAAAAGAAAAAGAAAAAACAATTCAATGACACAAATGAAAGGTCATATCAATTATGCTGTATCATTGTAATTTCTTGGGCAGAAAATAAAATGATTTAACCAACCTAAATATAAATGAAAATAAGAGCAAAATTGTTCCACAAAGTATAATCTAGCAGTTGAAGCAAATAAATTTGTGTCAATTAAACTTAATTTAGAACCTGCTTCTCATACGGTCGCTATGTCGATTTTTTCACACATGGTTAATCTAGTGTGATTTACATTTCTCGCATGATTTATAAGTTATTATACGAGATTGTATTTTTAACTGGTGCAAATATAAATTTAAAAAAATAAATAAATATATCTTGTAATGTTTTACTGTTGGAGGTAAAAGTAAAAAATGGAATATGATTGTGATATATTGACGAAACATCCCATAAGCTTGTCTCCCCCATGCAAAATTAATATATAGTGTGCAATATTTATTATTCAATTTTTTTTATTTTTTCCCTATATGAGATTTCTAAATATTACTCCTCCATTAATGCGTTACAGATAATATCAACTGAAAAGCCATTGATGAATTAATATGTAGGATACATTTGCATGTAACGGCTATATTTTCTGTTTGTTTGTAGATTACATTTACAATTATCAAACACCCCTTTATGGACTTTCTTTTCAGTTCTACTATTTATTTAATTCTTAAAATAAATTGCACTTTTAAGAATCCTCTTGTCAAATGGTATGTAATCTTTTGTTCGAATCCTCTTATCAACAGTTACTAGGTCGTGTTTGTCACATATGATTAGCTTAATATGATTTACGTCTCTCGTATAATTTACTCAGTGCAGTGCATATATACGGTTTGCAGCGGTTTCCAAAAAAAAAAAATTGAATAAGTTGATCCAAGTTAGTTCATGTCTAAAATTCGTCTAATATTAATAAGTTGATCCGAGATGTTTTTTTTATATATAATTAAATAGAATCATAGCAGAAAAACAAAGAAAATAGGTTAAAGTAGAATCATACAACATCAAAAATAAAATTTTGGGAACAAAGAAAAACAATTTGAATTATCAAAAAAAATAAAAAATATTAATAATAATAATAATTAATAGCAGCACCACCAATTTGTGTGATGGGATCTTTTTTTTCTTTTTTTCCATTTGTTTGAAAGTCACTTTCTAGTGAGTGCGAGTGTTCCTCTTTTTGGAATAGACCCTTTTGATCAGCTTTATTTATGGTGTTTTTCACTGTACCATTTATTAGATGTAGATGGTGGCGATTATGACCCACGCGCCACTCACCGCGTTTGGATGACAAAACACATCGCCCGTTATTTATTTTCTTTTTTATTTTATTTATTTATTTATTTTAAAAGAAAAAAGTTTAGTATGGGCAAATCTTGTTTTGTTTGCATTTGGTAATGAGAAGCTACTATTCCTTGTTTGGACCCATCACAGTTTGCCATTCTTGGCAAAATAATGATGACTAATTACATCTGTGGTCCTAACTCTAATCATCCAATTTTAATTCTTTTATTCATTATCCACGTCATCTTAATTAAAATCCAATTGGACTATTGTCAATGTGATGATCCAGCTCATTATTTCTCACATTTTTTTTATTTATTATTTCTTTATTTTTTTAGTTTAGCAACACAAAAACAAAAATTAGGTTGGCTCCACCAAGTTTAATTAGCATAAAATTAAGGAGAAATTAGTTGAATGTCCATCACCACTAATTTTATATTGGTATAAAGAAACCCTTAATTATTTTAGCTACAAGTCCCTATAATGAATATAATTATATAACGTAATGCGACTTGCGGATTTGAACCCTAGACCTCCACTCTATAAGTAGTAGATGTTATGTATCGACTCTTCTGATAAGGGCTGGTGCAGTACTCTAAAACTTCGTTTGGTTGTCAAGATAAGATTGAATAATCTAATGAAACTCAATTGTATTATTGGCTCCTCGAAGATCCAATAAAAAATATATTTAGAAGACAAGATAAATCATGATAACATAATATTTGCGGATCGACCCTGCAAATTATTGGAGATATCAAACATCAAACAAAATCCAGTTATTTAGTTAATAATGACTGACCTTCTCAACCAAACGATGCATAATTAAGTTATCTTTTGAGAGCTTAATTATTCAAATTGTGCATATCAAAATATTAGTCAACTTACAAAATGGAAACAAGTATCAAAATAAGACTTGCAATTTACAAACTTAAACTTTTAGTAAAATATATTGTAATTTAACAAAAGTTTCTATAACTAATCATAGTGTGTTTTTTTTTTTTTTTTTTTTTGCAAATAAAACTATAATGCTTCAATTGTGAAATAAAACTGCAAAATAGTACAAGATTATGTCAATAAAAGGAATAGCTATAACGTAAAATCACGTCCAAAATCATAGTCACAAATTTAGACTATTCAAATCCCCTTTGTGCCCATTCATTTTATTTGCGGTTTAAAGTTTACAACATACTAATCAAATTTAGACTTTTCAAGTCTCTTTATTTTGTTTCGCATCTATTCTTCTCTCTCCAATTAATCGACGTAGTAAAATTGATGTACGGGTCCCGCAAGGTATGACTTAGTGGTTGGAGTAAGTGAACATGGGTTAATTGATCCATGTTCGAACTTCATTGCCAACACTCAATAGGTGGAGTTTGTCACACATGGTTAACCTATTTTGATTTATGTCTCTCGTATCGTATTATTTGCAAGTTATTATATGAGAGTGTAGGTTTACCCAGTACACCTATATGGTTGACTGCAGGTTCCTTCATTACCAAAAAAAAAAAAAAAATTGACCCACATGGGATATACCTCAATTGGTTCTGATGTCGTAAATTGGTGCAATGTCCAAGAATCGAGCATTGACAGCTCATAATTTCAAACCCAATGAGAATTGGTTACTTGTGTACACCATTATTTAAATATTTTTTAATTATTTTTCTACTAAAAAGACAAATATAAACTGAAAAAAAAAATTACCACAAAAATCTAAAAAATGTGATGCATAGAGAGAAGAATCCCAAATCCAAATATCGAGATGTACGTACCAATTGTCAGCCAACCCAACAAAATGCATTGGGCACCATAAATTAATTCAATTCTATTCAATGCAAAATCTACACTACACAAATTCATCTCTCTCTCTCTCTTCTCTCTCTCTCTCTCTCTGTCTCTCTCTCTCTCTCAATTAATTTATTTCCACCGACTATTTATTTTCTTTCTGTACAATTTGTTATTATTATTATTATTAATTATTATACGGGAGTTGTGGGGACTGTTTGGGAGTTTGGGAGTTAGCAAAATATTAAATGCTGACATGTGATTTTTTGGCAAACACACACTCACACACACACACACACACTTTCAATTAGGGCTTTGACTCAGCATCACCTTCCTCTAACTCTTGCCCTCTATATTTATTACTCCTCTGCTTTTATTTATTTTTTCTTTTTTTCTTCTATAAATTACAATTATCTCCCTGACGTAGAGTCTATTTACAAAAAAACCCTTCATTTTTGAGAAATTACACCCAGCCTCCTGCAATTTATAAAAAAATTCTTACATCCACCCCTCCTACAAAAATGTGTAAAAAATTTACAAGTTACAGAGGGTATATAATTTTGAACAAGTGAGGGGGTTTTTTTGTAAATATATTTTTCCTCAGAGGTGGTTGTAATTTACCGAATTTGTATTTTGTCCAACCAATTCGAAAAAGTTGTGATAATCAATCAAACAATAACCTAATAAGTAACAAATGTAAACATCCAATAATGCATTATTAAAGAAGGTTTATTATTTTAATTTTTTTTTTCTGTATAATGATGAGCTGTCAATATGTCTACAATGATAATACAAACATAAAAAATAATTAAATAAAAAATGAGAAATTTTATTAATAATAAAATGATTGAGAAAAAGAAACATCAATATCAATGACAGCATCAAATTTTTCATCCTTTAGTTTCACTAAATTAACCCCAATAAAGGTACAACAACCCCCACCACACAACTAACTCAATTCCTCCAATGCTGTGTGTATATATATATATATATATATCATCACATATATACATGTACGTATCTCCCCCCTCTCTCTCTCTATCTCTCTCTCAACCCCCTCTTTCTCTCTCTAGATTTTTAACTATAGTTAAGAACCAAACCAAGAACAAATAATTTTACAGTATAAATCCCTCTCTCTACTCTTTTTTCCTTCCAATGAATACAACATACTAGGAAGTAGCTAACTACATACAAGGGTTGGCCAATGGTACCAAGATAAGAAGAGGTCCGGAAAAAAAATTATAAACGAAAAAAAAAATAAAAAAAAATCGGTCGAACGATGATGAAATAATGAATGGGGAAGAAAAAAAAAAGAAAAACGAAATGCGAAGGGGGTTTTACTAAGCTATGTGTTTGGTGATTGAATTGATTCCATTAGCATTTGGGAGATACGGGCTCTTTTTTCTCTCGGGATTATTAGGTCTTCTTCGTAAATATCTAAATAATTACGTCGCGGGGTATGACTAGTAATCGTTGTTTTTTGGTCGGGAGACTGACAAATTTTTTTCGGTGTTTTAATCGTGTCTTTAAATATTGTAATGCCTCACCGAAGACTCCAATACTTCGGGACTAGGGCAAATCATTTCCTTCACTCGGTTTCCCTTTCTGTATATCTTGAACGTCGGCACTATTCTTACGTTCTCCGTATGTGCAATCGGTGCGCTCTCTTCAATATCCACCTTCAATAATAAATATAGATTAACAAAACATATATATATATATATAGATTTTGGAAGAAGAAAAAAATAGGATATCGTCACTTACCTTGAGAAAATTTATAGACGGGTACCGAGTGCAGAGTGTGTCGAAAAACGGAGATATTTGTTTGCATTCTATGCTCGAAGCCGTTTTGAAATGGACCACGGACGCACCTGCATAAAGCCCCCATGGGGATGAAAAAATGACACTTAAAATCTTGAATTATGACATCACACTCTATCTTGAATGACAACATCGTTACTAACCCGAGGACGAATTG